GTTAATAATAATAATAATAATTTTTATTATTATTATTATTATTAGTGTTATTATTATTATTATTATTATTATTATGTGCAAACAAAAGAGTATTTTGTGTTCAGACAAAAGTACACATGGTGCTGTCCAAGGTGCTGAAAATAACGTCATTCTATCACTGTTAAGTATAAATAATATAGTGTATGTATACACATTAACTTTTTACATCTAGGCTTTCTCACCTGTTGGCTCTCGAACGTCCACGCGCTGTCTGGTAATGACGCATCAAGCACGTTTAGCGTGTCTGTAAAGTTTGTGGTGCTGCTGGGTTTAACGAGGGTGAGATCACTGAATTCTGACATTGGAGAGAGATAGGAGCCAAAGGACTGACTCTGAGACATCATGTCTCCTCCCAGAACCTCCACATACTTAATGGGCCCGTCAGTGTTGAGCTGGATCTGCAGGTTTCTGTTGGGGTTCTTGTATTCAGAATTTGTTCTCCTGATACAGCAGCTTGAGCCGCGTCTACTGCCTCGCGCACATTTCACCAGTAAGATGAAAAACGTCAACAGACAAAACAAGGATACAGAAGCCAAAGAGATGATCAGATATAATGTAATTTTGCTGCTTTTCTTGTTGGGTTCGATAATTTTCTCTCTGTAGTCTGAGATGGGCTCATGAAAGCCGTCCTCTATCAGTATATCCACTGTGACAGTTGTGGACTGGATCGGCTCTCCATTATCCTTTATTTCTATCACCAGTCTCTGCGAGGAGTCATCGTGCTCTGAAACAGCGCGTTTAGTTCTCACCTCTCCCGTATGTAAATTGACACTGAACAGAGACGCGTCCGTGGCCTCCGCGAGCCTGTAGAACAGCCAGGCGTTATGACCCGAGTCCGCGTCCACTGCTGTCACCTTAGTAACGAGATGTCCTGCTTTAGCAGAACGAGGCATCCTCTGATGAGTAACAGACCCCATGGATGTGGACGGGTAGATGATAACAGGTGCGTTATCGTTCCGGTCCAGAATGAACACATGAACTGTGGCGTTGCTGCTCAAAGATGGAGAGCCATGATCTCTAGACTGCACTACAATGCTGATTAGCTTCATTTTCTCATAATCAAATGAGCTCATGCTGTAAATAGTTCCGTTCTCAGAGTTTATATAAAAATAGGATGATGCTGGAACTTGATTAGAACTTAAATCCAGAACTGAGTAAGTGAGAAGAGCATTTTTGTCTTGGTCAGTATCAACTGCAGATACAGAAAACAATGAAACGCCTGCCAGATTATTTTCGTTTATGTAAACATTATATGAAGACTGTGAGAATATTGGTTGGTTGTCATTTACATCAAGCACTTTTACATTTACAGTCTTCACAGTTTTTAAGGGTGGAACACCAAAGTCCATGGCCAGTATTTCTACATTATATTCGGAATGAACCTCACAATCTAATAATGAGTCAGTTATCAGTGAATAATGGCTATCGAAAGTTGGCTTTAATTTAAAGGGAAGATCCGGGGAGACAATTAGCTCAACTTTCCCATTATTACCGGAGTCCAAATCTTTGACGGTAATCAGAGCCACCACAGTTCCCACCGTTGAATTTTCAGGAACAGGACTCGGTAAGGACGTCAGGATAATCTCTGGAGGATTGTCATTCTCATCTATGATATCTATCTGAACCGATGACTGCCCTTCGAGCTCTGGATTCCCTTTGTCTTTAGCACAAACATCAAACGTATATGATGTGGTGGCCTCGTAATCTAGCTTTCCAATTACTGTTATTTCGCCGGTTTCAGCGTTCACACTAAAAGCATTTCTTACCAATTCAGGCGTGTGCGCAGCCAATAAATATTGTATTTCACTATTTAGACCTTCATCTAAATCGGTCGCTTTTATTTTGATTACACTTGAACCAATAACAGCGCTTTCTAAAACAGATGCTTTGTATACAGCTACATCAAACTTTGGTTCGTTGTCATTGAAGTCTTGAACAATTATTTGCAATAACGATGTGCCCGATTTTACCGGATTACCACCATCTAGAGCTGTTAATATTAGCTTGTGAACTGCCTGTTTTTCTCTGTCTAGTGATTTCTCAAGCACTAGCTCTGGTATCTGCCTTCCATTTTTAACTGTCTTTAAATTTAGCCGGAAGAAATTGTTAGTGCTCAATGAATATGACTTTAAGCTATTGCTGCCAACATCGAGGTCCTCAGCAATTTCAAGGTTAAATCGCACGCCTGGAGCAGTCAATTCTGAAATTTTTAATACTCCATCTTTATTATGGAAGTTCGGTGCATTGTCATTAATATCCTGTATTTCTATTTCTACCTTATGCATCTGTAATGGATTCTCAATAACGATCTGCAGTGGCATTAGGCAACTGGCGCTTTGTCCACAGAGCGTCTCTCTGTCTATTCTGCTATTAACTACCAGATCACCCTTCCCTGAATCCACACTAAAATATTGCCTATTCGACTCAGATGCTATTCGTAACTTACGCTCGGCAATATCTGAGACGTCAAAACCAAGATCCTTCGCGATGTTCCCAACGATAGATCCTTCCTTTAACTCTTCGGGTATCGTGTAGCGAATCTGAGCTCCAACTGTATTCCACAATAGAGAGAAAGCGAACAGCCAAAGCGCTGCCCATCTCCACCCTCCGATCCTCTGCCTCATTTCTCTAATGCGGCTGATATTCCCGTCAACAAATCTTTGTCTTATATCCATAGAACATCAGAATTCTGTTCTCCATTTTCAAATAAACGTGTACTCAGCCCATCCTCGCTGTGGTGATCAGTCTCATAAAGCGTTCATGTTTCCTCTCGCTCTACAGCTCTCATCATTACTCCTCCTCTGGCTGAGGGAGGGAGTAGATCCCTTTGTTAAGACTAACACATGATTGGTTCAGAGCTAAGCACTCACTGGTCCAATAGAGGTTTTGATGTTTTTAAAGGCAGCTCTCTTTGGTTGTGACTACTGCGTCTGGAGATTTTAATGCAGTTAGTTTCTCAGTATTTTTTAGAGGAGCTAATTTTTGTGTACAAAAACAAAAACAAACAAAAAAAACCAAGTCATGTTTAAAAACATGTACATTTCAAGTAGCCCTATAAGATGACTGGATGTGTACTTTTAAATTCATTAGGAAGCAACAATAAGAGGACATTGCAGCTATGCATTTTTAAAATGTATACATTTAATATTCTTTAGGCCTTTACCCCAGAAGAAGAACGCAATGCCACATGCTGCTTGATTCAGCTAAAGATATAATTTCTGACGAGCAAATAATGAATCATTATAGATTAAGCCTTTCCTCTGATTATAATGATTCATTATTTGCTCGTGCATGTATAAAAGCATAAACTATTTTTTTTTACCCATGAACAAAAAATGCGAAAATCTACTTTCCAAAGGGGAAAAAAAATCAGAGCGTTTATTTTTAAAAAGAAAAGAAAATGACCAGAATGTACAATTATTGGATAGCATTATATTGTATACAGATTGAATATTAATCCTAATAAACATACCGCTACAATAAAAAAAAAACAATAACATTGCAATACAATTACATTGTATTGTAACATTACAATACAAAACAATAGCATTACAATACAATCCATTACAATTTAAAATAGTGCAGCCTTTCTATCCCTTACGAGAATTAACCATAGTTTTACTATAGTAAAATGTAGTAACCATGTATTTTGGCCTACTGGTTACTGTGATAACGACCCGAGCAGTCACAAGGAGGATCAAAATCAGCAAAGCTGACGTCCAAAAAGGTTGTTTATTTGAAGCGGATGTGCAAATAAATATGTTTACGAGCTTAAAACAAAGATCTTAAAACAGTCTAAAACTAGAACTGCTAAGTACTTAAAACAGTACTAACTCCCCTCCACTACATTGAGGCTGGAGTTTTACATGTTAGCTACACAGCACCACAATAATCTCGATCACTAGCTCTCGATCCGTGCACCTCTCTCTTACTGACGGCCATCTTTAATACACATTCCCCCCGCTCTTACTAATTGAAACAATACCATGTTTTTATAAAATAAACTCTTGTCTCACAAATGAGTGCTTCCCCTTAAGTGCACACTATTACCACGCCCACTCAGCTAGATCAGAAAATACAAAAATACAACACACCAGAAACAATAAGAACACCGTAAAAACAGTTATAGAAGACAACTTTAACGTCTCTCCACCTCATTTGCCATTTGTATAACCACAGTTTTACTACAAATACCATGGTTATGGATAGTGTAGCAAAACCATGGTTAATTTATGGTTACCATGGTTTAACTATAGTAAACATTTGTTTTATTATTTGTAGTAAAACTTTAATTTGTAGTGGTTAATTTTTGTAAGGGATCCCTTGTAGTAACTTCAGCAATGTGCAGATCATTCTATAACGGGAACACATCGTTTTTATGGCATAATATGTCGTTATTAAGTGAAAAAGAATATGTCCTTTTGACGAGATAATTACGTTTTTACTAGAATTATTAGTTATTACTAGAAAAGTTGTAGTTAAAACGACATAACATCTCGTTATTACGACATAATTGAGTGGAAAAAAAGAATATGTGTGGCAGCAATGCATCACCGTATGTGTATATATATATTCCAAAAATTATTCCATTAAAACATGTAGCCTGTAGATCATCTGCCTCTCCTTTAACCTCACCCAGCCCCAGGGCGGCGCCAGAGAATTTTGAACGCAGGTGCTGAGGGGGTGCTAGATCATTGACGGGGGAGCTGGGCAATTAATAGTAAATATGACCAAAACAGGTTATTTATTTATTTGTTTGTTTGTTTTTTATATGAATAATAAAATAAATCGCCCACTCGATTTTGTAACATTTTTTACATGATTATTTGGCTCATCACAATTTAAATAAAATTTTCATTTTATGAAATTAAACAAGTAGCCTACATAGATCAGTCAGTTCTCTAAGATTTTTTATACAATCCGCCTAGAATTCACTAAACAAGCATTTCGGAATGTGAGCCAAAGGCAATATGACATCAAAAAGCACTGGGGATATATTTACTTGCTATTTACAGTCTCAAACCAGAACCTTCGCTCTCTGTGTGGCCAAATGTGCCACTGCTGTTTCGGCATCGTCACAGCTGCTTCTCAGATACTGTATGTCTTAGTGTAGGAGACAGGACAAAGATCTCTCACATATGGAAAGGAGTAGGGCTGCTATATGGCGATTCACTCTGACGTTAATTTAGATAAATATGCGCTATATATGTGCATATCAAATGTTTATGAGACGTGTGGGAGTCCTATTATCGCGCTTACTGCATGACATGGAGGCGCCCGCGCAATCCCTTGCTTTTTTTTTTTTTTTTTTTCCTGCGGAAAGAACTTAACGCTTTCTGCCGTCTCATGCAGTCCCCGTGAAATGGAGCGCGTCACAACAATGCTACTTGCCTCACAGACATAAGAAATACATCTATAAAAAAATATAGCTTGAAATATTGCTTGAAAAAAATATTATTTAATTATGTTCGTATGGAAAGGTTCATGTCTCTCTTAAAGGCACGTCCACGTGGAGATGGCGAGTCAGCGTATGTTAGCATTCGGCAACTTCTTTGCAGCCGACACTGACTGAGAAAACACTAGTTTATTATTACATAATTAAAATGTCTTCTTTTCCCCAGCATATTCATAATCATTATTTTTGCGGTGCTTTGCGGCAAGCTTTATGCGCGCGCTTGAGCGCGGAATAGGCTATAATACGCCTATGCCTATTAAACGATGGTTTAGTAGGTTAATCAATATTAATCAATTTAATATAAACGCGCGACTAGTAGGCTAGAAAATTTTTTAGTCGGGGGCAGGCCTACTTGGCACAAGGAACCGATCCATTTTTAAAATAGAATGCTATGACATTACGAAAAGTGCGACTGCAAATCACGTCACATTATATTGCATTGCACGAGTTATGCATGCGTAATGAGTCAAATGTTCATGTGGGTGCTTTGGTCTTTCTTGGGGGCGCTGAAGCACCTGCTAGCCCCTCCCTAGCGCTGCCCATGCCCATGCCCAGCCCCTTCTCTCTCAACTTTTCAACATAACATCTTCCACAAACAAAATTAAGAAGTCTGAGGCGTAAATTAATAAAATGATGACAAGCGTAATTCGCAATTGTTGTTGATTTAATAATGCACAATAGTCAGGTTTTATAAGTAAACTCCCCATTTATTTTCATGTATAACGATAACTTTTAAACCATTAAAGACAGACCTGAGCTCCAATGTAGCCAATGTAGCTAGCTATATGCTTCTGCTTAATCCATTTCAACTTATTTTTCAAAAATACTTGCGGGATAATGCACAGCACAGTTACAGACTGTCCCTTTAACTTTCACCCCTAAAATGAGCTAATTAAAACATATATATTTAACTTAAAATTCTTATTAGTAGACATCTAATAAATAGCCCCAAGCACTCTTTTTTTTTTAATGTTTTATATAAAACTTTACCGTACGGTTGAGCTGTCAGTCCATGTTAAATCTTGATTTAAATTCAGAGAACTATTTCTATTAGTTATTTTCCAATAATAAACATTCATTTAACTTTATTAGTATCTTGGATACATTTCATAACCTTCAGGGTCCACAAAGATAAAACATTATATTTAAGCGTCCCTATTCACAACAACATTATGGTTTCATACCTACTTCCTTGATTGCTTGTTAGACCCTATTATCTGATGACTGACCAGCACCATTCTCCCTTCTGTGTGACTGACTGAAGTTTGTAAACTGCTGCTGTCACTTGAAAACTGGAAATTCCCAAACCCCCCATGGCAATAGCAGACACAGAGATGGGGCAGTACAGCTGTGGAAAGAGTGCTCTCTCATCTCTTCCTTTTGATAGATTTATTCCCTATCAAATAAAGCTCAACCATATATTTTCTCACCTGTTGGCTCTCGAACGTCCACGTGCTGTCTGGTAGTGACGGATCAAGCACGTTTAGCGTGTCTGTAAAGTTTATTCTCCTTCTCTACAGCTCCTATCACTCATTGTAGCCCTTTCCTGCTAAGGGAGGGAGTAGATCCCTTTGTATAGTCTCGCACCTCATTGGCGCTGAGCTCAGTGCGCTGCTGTCCAATAGAGGACAGAGTCTCTCTTAAAGGCGAACATGCACTTTTTTTCTGAAAATGCTGTACGCTGTTAGTTGTGTATTGTCACAACTAGAAAAAGAAGGGGCGAAAGTAAAGGTATACTGAATTTATACAAATGCATCGGGAAAAATAACTTTTTAACATAAGAAATGCATCTGTTACTCTTTAAGAATACACACTCTAAAAAATCCTGGGTTGTTTCAACCTAACTTTGGGTCAAATATGGACTAACCCAGCTGTTGGGTTAAATTTTTCATTAAATTTTTTAACCCAAAAGTTGGATTAGTCCATATTTGACCCAAAATTTTTAGAGTGCATGCATCCACAAAATTGCGCTTTAAAAACTTGAAATCGTATAAATAAAATAAAAAATAATAAAATAAAAAATAAAATAAAAATCGATTATTATCTCCAAATTAACTAGCTGCGGTCACTGATGACCAAAAAGAATCTCAACAATCCGTTAGTAAGCAATTTCCATTCTATTTGAGCAGACTATCAGCGTTGCCATCGTGTCGCTGTCCACAGATATGGTGCTGAAATTTGCTCAATAAACTGTTCTCAGCACCCTTTAGCCCACACAAAGACACAAGCGCTCAACACACAGCTGCATAAACGATTTCTTCTCTTTTTTTCCCAAGTAGAATTATATATGCATGTGAATTCGGAAAACACACATGCTATTTTGAGACATATTTTTACTTAGATACGAAGACAGCTCTGAATAAGCAAAAGTTTATTAGTCTCACCTGTTGGCTCTCGAACGGCCACGCGCTGTCTGGTAATGACGCATCAAGCACGTTTAGCGTGACTG